GTAGTCAAGGTGGCAGGTAGAGGCGAAGTCAGCGACAGCAGCAACAAGCGTGTCAAGGCACGAGACAGGAACAGATAGGTCTGTAACAAGAGAGGCAAGGACCCGAGGGACAAGGGGACTAGCGGCATGGAGGTAGTCAGACAGCGGGGGAGGTGCAACAACGAGCGACGAGGGAGGAGGCGAGGGGAGGATGGGAGGACAAGACGATTGAGAACGGAGTAACATAGGATGGGAGCGCGGGACAGGGGAGACGGGATGAGCAAGGGAGGGACGGTGAGATCAAACGTGGGACGGAGGTGACAGGAGACAGCGGAGGTGACACAAGGGGGGAACGAGGAGGAAGACGGGCCAGAGAAGAGTCCGGGGGCGGGAACACAGGGCCGTAGACAGGAAGGTGAGGAGGAGGTGGGGGAGACACCGACGAGCGGTCATGGGAGGGAAGGCCGAGCAGGCGAAGAGCGGAGACCGGCGGCGACGACTGCGGCGGCTGCTGCGGCGGCAGCTGCGGCGGCTGGTGCTCGACCCTCGAACCGGCAGGGGCACGACGACCTCCGGGAGAACTCTCAACAGCAGCACCCCCAGAACCAACACCCCCAGAGCGAGAACCCTCTCCAGCCCCAGCGGCACCCCCAGGCCCGCCGGGACAGACCACACCAGGAGCCGCAGGACGAACACACTCCTCAGCGCCAGCACCCTCAGAGGCCAAGAGCGGAAATGGCGGCAGCGGCGACGGCGTCGTCGACAGCGGCTGCGACGGCGGCGGCGGCGACGACTGCGACGACTGCGACAGCGGGGGCGGAGACACCAGGGAAGGGGGACATGGCAAAGGCGGGGCGGGGGGAACACCAGAGTCAGCAGACTCCTCAACAGGGACAACTGACGGGAGGGGAGTGACATGGGAGACACCAGACAGGGCAGGACGCGGCGGGAGGGGAGGAGGGGCTACCGGGGGAGAGGGGGCAAGGAACAGGGGGGGGGAAACCGGGAGACCTCGGTGAGGGAAGCGACGGTAGAAGGAGACGGACTCGTCAAAGGTGACGTCACGAGAGTGGAGGAAGCGGTGAGACTGCGGGTGGTAGAAGAGCCAGTCCGACGAGTCCAGGGAGAAACCAAGGAAGACACAGGGGACAGTGCGGGCAGTGACCTTGTCCGTGCCAGAGGCACGAACGTGAGCAAGGCAACCCCAGACGTGGAACGCAGACGCGTCACCAGGGGACCCGGTCCAAAGCAGGGTCGGCGTAACCTGCGGCCGCTGGGAGCGTGGCCACAGGTTAAGCTGCTGAGCGGCGTAGCGAACGGCGAACGGCCACAGAAAATGGGGTGCACCGGCATGGATCATGGAGGTACGAGCCACCTCCATGACCAAGCCGATGTGGCGCTCAGCAACCCCATTCTGCTGTGGCGAGTCCGGCAAGGTTTACGACTGGGTGATGCTCTCCGCACGACAGATTTGTCCAAGCCGACCAGAAGCGAACTCTCCGCCACGGTCAGAGTGGAGACACAACATGGGGAGACCGTGGTGAAGACGCGCAGCCACAACCCACGGGAGAAGAACGTCGGGCACATCGGCCTTCCGCTCCAGGGGAAACACCGTGGTGTAGCGCGTGTAGTCGTCGACGAGCACAAGAAAGTAGCGCTCGCCACGCGGTCCGGGGACGGGGGCTGGGCCCCAAACGTCCAGGTGCAGGGTCTGAAGGGGAGCAGTAGCAGGGCGAAGAGAGGAGGAGTGAGGGGCACGGCGGAGCCGGCCCTCGACGCAGGGCGTGCACGGTGGAGCCGGCGAGAGGGGAAGGGTGGGGAGCGACGCGGGGAGGCCTAAGACAAGACCGTGCTGGGACATGTGACGCAGACGCGGGAGTGCAGGGTGACCTAGGCGGTGGTGCCACAAATGGGATGAGTGAGTGAGAGACCAACACGAGCAAGCTGCAGCGACCTGGGAGGACGCACCAACCGGGGGGGAAGCGGTGTCCAGGGTGAACAGTCCAGACACCGGGTCCCGGGGGAACGTAGCAAGTGGGGAACCTGAGAAAGCCTCAGAACAAACAGCGAACCGCTCATGCCCGGGGAACGTAGTGGTGATGTCGAGGTCCTGAAGACAGCCGACACCAACCAGGTTCCTCGAGAACGAGGGAACGTGGAGGCCTGTAAGAGAGCCCGAGGGAACTGCTAGACAGGGAAGGGACGTGGAACTGCGAGCGACGACGGGACCCGCAGAGGGGTCAGCGAGAGAGACAACAGCAGGCGCAGCAAGCGGCGTAAGCGTGGAGCGGTCGCGGAAGAAACAGGCAGAAGCACCGGAGTCGAGAGTGAAGGACAGCGAGGCCGTGGCGGAGGCTGGGAACGGAGCCGGTGCAGAACCTAGGCTAGGCAAACTAGGCAGTCCTACGCCTGACACAGCAAGGGAGTCTAAGCTACACAAGGGTGAGACACCTAAACTAGAAGCGTCAGCATACAAAGCTGTAAGACAGCCGACACCAACCAAGCTGGGATGGCGGCGGCTGCTGCTGGGGCTGCTCCGGCTGCGAAGGCGACTGCGTCTGCTCCTACCCACCAGTGGTAGTCCCCTCAGGTGGACTACCATCACCACCACCACTACCACCACCACTAGTGCCACCACCACGACCTCCCTGGCGGCCACGGCCACCGCGGCGCGGACGCTGCTGCGGGTGGACCGCAGCAGCCGTCTCGGTAAGAGGGGTCGCAGTGGCGACCGCAGCCGAAACATCAGTAAACGTGCACTGGGAGGGGGCACAGCCGTGAAAGATAGAGACTGCCGGCGCACCGCTCGACTGAGCGATAGTGTGCTGGCGCGTCTCTATCTCGGTGAGGGTGTCGACAAAGGCGGTCAGTGTGAGGTCATCCGGGTGCTGGCTAAGGAAGCGGTCGCGGGCACTAGCTAGGCGGTCCGGCAGGCGCATGGCGATAAAATAGAGGGTCATGCAGAATGGGGGGGGGAGCGCAGTGAGCTGGGCAGCAGTGCTGGCAGTGCGATAGCGAGTCTCTAGGGCACGCAAGTGAGTTGCAAAGTCTGCGACAGTAGGGAAGGCAGCAAGGTCTGGGAACAGCATCGGGAAGAGCAGGCGGCCGGCAGAAGCGGATGCAGGTGTGGAATAGCGAGCAATAACAGCGTCTAAATAAGCTTTGGCCGTATCAACTGTAGCGAAACGCGAGCGCTCAGACACAGGGAGGGCGTGACTGATAGCAACCTGAGCTACTGCATCGCGTGAGTCCCAGACCGCACAGGCAAGCGCAGCAGTAGAGAAAGCCTCACTCTCAGCGGAGGTGGGGTCAGCAGGGAGGGGAGCAGGTGCAGGGGGGCGAGGGAGCAAGCCATCAGCATGGACAACCAGCGAGTGTCCATCCTGGCGCTGACCCGTAAGCTGACGGCGGAGATTGGAGATACAGGCGACGAAGTCAACCGCGTGGCCCTCAGCGTCCAAGCGAAGCACGAAGTCAGCCATCGTGCAGGGTCAACGACACAGCGGCACAAGTCAACTGCTCGGCAGGAGCACAGCGGCACGGGGACACGGCGGCAGCACTCTCCAGTAGGGCGGCTGCGGGGCGCCCCGGCGCGGGCTAGCAGAGGACACGGGGCACGAGGTGGCACGGCAAGCCGAGCAGGCACGAGGATGGGCCGGGCGGGCAGGAGGAGGGGCCGGGCTGGCGCTGAAAACCGGGCAGGCGCGTCAGGGCTGGGCTAGCGCTAGGAGGGGCCGGGCGGGCGCACTGGGACGGGCGGGCGGTAGGAGGGGCCTAGCAAGCGCGGGGCGGCCAGGCAGTCGCGACTTTGGGGGGGGGGGGGCGGGCGGGCGTGAGGAGGGGCCGGGCGGCGCTAGGAAGAGGCTGGGCAGGCGCTGCTGGGGCCGACTAGGAGCGGGCGCGACGGCCAGTGGGGCCAGCTAGGGGCGGGTGCGAACGGCCAGAGGGCCGGCTAGGAGCGGGCGCGAACGGCCGGGGGGCCAGCTGAGGGCGGACGCGACGGCCAGGGGGCCAGCTAGGAGCGGGCGCGACGGCCAGTGGGGCCAGCTAGGGGCGGGCGCGACGACCAGGGGGCCGGCTAGAAGCGGGCGCGGATGGCCAGGGGGCCAGCTGAGGGCGGACGCGACGGCTTGGGGGCCAGCTAGGGGCGGACGCGACGGCCAGGGGGCCGACTAGGGGTGGACGCGACGGCCAAGGGGCCAGCTAGGGGCGGACGCGACGGCCAAGGGGCCAGCTAGGGGCGGACGCGACAGCCAGGGGGCCGGCTAGGGGCGGACGCGACGGTCTAGGGGCCGAGTAGGGGCGAACTCGACGGCCAGGGGGCCGGCTAGGGGCGGACGCGACGGCCAGGGGGCCGACTAGGGGTGGACGCGACGGCCAGGGGGCCAGCTAGGGGCGAACACGACGGCCAGGGTGCCGACTAGGGGTGGACGCGACGGCCAGGGGGGCCAGCTAGGGGCGAACGCGACGGCCAGGGGGGGCAGCTAGGGGCGAACACGACGGCCAGGGGGCCGACTAGGGGCGGACGCGACGGCCAGGGGGCCGGCTAGGGGCGGACGCCACGGCCAGGGGGCCGGCTAAGGGCGGGCGAGAGACTAGGGCGCGGGCGGAAGCGGGCGGGGGGACCTTACCTACTCGATACCATGTTAGAAAACGTGAATAATTACTAGAAGGAGAAACCTAGAACATATACCTGTTGGGTTGTTCTCACTAGAAGCACACAGCTAGTCTAGCCTATAACTTCTACATAGAACATATGTATAAGTTGACACCCTGATCGCTGTCTGCGAACCCTGAGCATTTCTGGGTTTCATGTTTCTGGTCTGGATACTGACAAATCAGGGTAGTCATTTTTTGAAAACAGACCCCTCAGGGTATTTCTTTTTTTTTGTTGTCAACAGCTCAGGGGGAGTTTTTTTTTAAACGTCAGCCCTGTTCGGGACAAAACCGAAGAAGTTGGCCTTGCCTGGACTTCCAAGAGTCGAGGGCGTGCGCGCTGTAGTCGAGCCCAGTAAGGAAAAGGAATTTCCTTACAAGAAGGCAAGATATGTTTTTCACTGCACGAAAGCGTACATTCAAAATCTTCCAAAAGCATGTACCATAACATAACATGCCTCTGGACAACGAATTAGGCATACAGTGCACATCTCTAAGATCTATCGCTATCTTGTGCATGGAATCAGCTTGACAAGGCCATCTCCACCGCATGTGAGAAAGCCGTGGCTTGACGGGATCATATCCATTACGCCGACCTGCAAAGCGGGAGGGAGACAAGTAAAATACGATGGCAATCACCACAACTGAATTTTGAGCCAGCTCAAAGTCATCTGGGGTTGGGAGACGAAGGTACGGTAGGGGTCATTTTCCATAGTAACTGGCAAACAATAAACAGGAATTACGGGCGACTTGGTCCGCCTGAATCACCCAGTGTAGCCCCTCAACCTCAACACAATCCTATCCCAAACAGCCACAGCTTGCGACCTGGATGACTGCCACAAAGCCGCGCGTGAATTGGGGAATGTCCCCCTTTCATGCACCTCGTGCCACTCCCTCAGTAGCTGAAACCATACCCGCATGCTCGATCCCTCAACAGCATACCCGCATGCTCGATCCCACAACAGCATACCCGCATGCTCGATCCCACAACAGCATACCCGCATGCTCGATCCCACAACAGCATACCCCCATGCTCGATCCCACAACAGCATACCCGCATGCTCGATCCCACAACAGCATACCTGCATGACTGCCCCGAAGCCCCGCGCGTTGAGGAACGTGCGCTTCTCATGCACCTTGGCCCACTCCCTCAGCAGGCGGCAGCGCGCCGCGTCCCACAGCTTCACCTCGCCCTCCTTGGACGCACTCAGGAAGAGAGGAGTGCCGGGCACACCCACCACGCTCGACACACTGCTGCCATGCGCCCTGGGGATGTACCACAATGCACGATCCCCACCACTACCACCACTGCTGCCGCTGCTGCTGCTGTTGTTGGATTTGTCTCCTGGACCCCCTGGGCTGCTCATGGTACTGCCAACACTGCTGTTGCTGCTTCCACTCCCCCCTTTGCCAGCGCCCCCTCTCTTGCCGCTCTTCCCGCTGGCGATGAACCGGAAATCGTGCACCGCGATGTCGCCTCCCTTGCCGCCCGTCACGATCAGCGAATGGGACGCTGACAGCTGTCCTCCTCCCCCTCCACCACCGCCGTTTCCTCCGCCTCCAGTGCTTCCGGCTGTGGTGGCAGGGCCAGTGTTATCCACGATGGCTATGCTGGTGGCACCGCCTGGAGTGGGGAGAGGAGAGGAGAGAGGTAGAGCACAGTGATTACAGGTGGAGATGACTCATGAGTATGGGAGTATTGTATGGTACGGGAGTAGGGCTGTGATGGCAGGTTTCAAAGTCGACTCAAAAGCAAAGAGTATGGGAGAATGGTATGATAAGGGAGTAGGGCTGTGGTGGCAGGCCCAGTGCTGTCCACGGTGGCAATGCAGGTGGCACCGGCTGGGGTAAGATGATGATATGAGGCGAGAAGATGAAATGAGGCGAGAAGATGAAATGCGGAGAGACGATAATAACACCCAAGATTGCCCGACTCCCAAGATCGCCCAACTCCCAAGATCGCACAAACTCCCAAGATCGCCCAACTCCCAAGATCGCCCAACTCCCAAGAACGCCCAACTCCCAAGAACGTCCAACTCCCAAGATCGACCAACCCCGAAGATTGCCAAACCCCCAAGATCTTTTGAGGCGACACAACACTAGATCGCATCATCGCAGCACGATACCCTAGCCCATTTCTTGCCTTGGTGGCAATTGATGGCTACTCGAGAGGCGTTTGGTGGGGCGAGGGAGTCCCACACGACCAGGTTGTCCTGAGAGGGGCTGAAGCCCACAGCTGCCACCACACTGCTGCTGGGGCCTATGAACGCCACGTCACTGCATGCAGGGGAGTAGTGGGGTGGGTTGCAGTGCGGTGGGGTGGGGTGAGAGGTATGCAATCAAATACTGGGCTGAAGGCACCGCTGCCACCACACTGCTGCTGGAGCCAATGAACACAACGTCACTGGAGAGGGGATGAGGGGAGAAAGCATGCAGGGGAGAGGGGACGAGGAGTACACGAACACTGTGTCAATCACCGAGAGGGGCTGATGCCCACCGCTGCCACCATGCTGCTGCTGGGGTCTATGAACGCCACATCACTGGAGAGGGGATGAGGGGAGAAAGCATGCAGGGGAGAGGGGACGAGGAGTACACGAACATTGTGTCAATCACTGAGAGGGGCTGAAGCCCACCGCTGCCACCACGCTGCTGCTGGGTGGGGCCAATGAACGTAGTCAACTGCAACCCACTTTTGAGTCGCCTCAAAACCCACCTCCCTTTGCAGCATCCCTTACCAGCGGACTGCCTCTTTCCTACAGCCATACGCTACCGCTCCCACCTTGCGGCCGAAGCAGTGTTTCGTTTCAGTGGGCTTCACGTTGCTGCGGCCGAAGCAGTGTTTCGTTTCAGTGGGCTTCACGTTGCTGCGGCCGCCCACCTCCAAACAACTGCCATACTGTACGACTCTCTCTCACCTTGCACTTCTCCCAAAGCAGTGTTTGGTCTCGGTGGGTTTCACGTTGCTGCGCCCGCCCACCTCCATCTGCCACATCGACACCGTCCCGTCCGCAGCAGCCGTGGCGAATCGTTCCCCGTAGCGGTCGAAGCGCACCGAGGTGACTGAGGGGATCACCAGCGGCACAGGTGTGTTGGAGGATGGGAGAACCCCATAGGTGGCCGTGGCTGTTGGTGCGCCGAACTGGGAGGGGTGGGGGAAGGAAGAGCAGGTCGAGTGAGGGCAGCACAGTCCCGTCAGCAGCAGCTGTGGCGAATCGTTCCCCGTAGCGGTCGAAGCAGACCGAGGTGACTGAGGGGATCACCAGCGGTACTGGTGTGTTTGAGGAGGGAAGAATCCCGTAGGTCGCTGTGACTGTTGGTGCGCCAAACTGGGATGGGTGGGGGGATAGAACAGCAGGGTGAGTGAGGAAAGCACAGTACCATCCGCAGCAGCAGCCGTGGCGAATCATTCCCCAAAGCGATCACCAGCAGGAGGGACCGATGGTGTACACATGACCGATGGAATCACCAGCGGCACTGGTGTGTTGGAGGATGGGAGAACTCCAAATGTTGGTCTGGCTGTTGCTGCGCCAAACTAGAAAGGGTGGGGTGGGGGGATAGAACAGCAGGGTGACTGGGAGAGTATAGTGCTGTCAGCAGCAGCCGCGGCAAAACAACCCAGAAAAAAGGAAAGAAAGAAAGAAAGAAAAAAACACACGAACAGAGGTGATTGACCGACAGGATCACCAGCAGCATGGGCATGTTGGAGGGGTCCTCCCAGTAACTAACCATAGCAGGCCCAACCCACAGCAGCACCTACCCAGGGAATACCTACCCGCTAGAAACACGCTCGTACCTGCCAGAGGTACACGTGAGTGTTGGTGGAGCCCACAAGAAAAAAGGGCCGCAACGGATGAGCAGCCAGAGCCCTGCCTGCTACGGACTCAGCCGTGGCAGGTGGGTCCACATACCCCTCCTCCGCATCCTCCAAGTCCTCCCACCCCAGCCCCCACGCGCCTATCCCCCCATACCCTGGAATCCCCATCCCCACGCCTCCTGCATAAGATGAATCCCGAGCCACGGTGCCCCGACCCACTGCCGAGCCTATCGGGGAGAACGGGGAGGAGGTATTGGCGGCACTGTTGCCGATGCTCGCACTGCTGAAGCTGCTGCTTCCGAACCCTCCCAGCCTATTTGCCCCCCCTCCCACGCTCCCACTACCACTGCTTCCCGTGCTCGCCCCGCCCTGCCCCCCTCCCCCACCCCAACCACCAGCACCAGCACCACTGCCAGTGACGCTGCTGGCACCACCAGCACCACTGGGCATATTCATTCGGCCGCTCGGGGAGTGGGTGAGCAGAGCAAAGTGGGCGGGAGGGGGAGTGGCCACCCTGCCAGCGTAGCTGTCAGCCGGCCAGCAGGCCGACGCCCAGAGATTGTCAAACACAGGCGGGATGGGAGCGTGGTGATTGGAGTAACCTGGGTAACCGGAGTGGGTAGCAGCACCGGGGTGGGTAGAAAGTGTGAGGGTATTGGAGTGAGAACTAGAGTGGATGTCAAAGAACAGGAGGCCCTTGCGGTTGGTGGCCACCACGGCTTGCCTTGGATTCAGTGCATTCACACATATACCTTCTAGGAGCTCCCCCCCCGTTTTAAGCACCTCTAATGGCTCGCCAAACGCCCTTCCCGCCCACCGTGCACTCATCTCCCCTCCCTCCTCCTCCCCCTCCTCTTCCTCTCCCTCTCCTACCCTCTCTCTCCCTCCCGCCTTCTCGTCCCCGTCCTTCGATCCTTTCACCCGTCCTCCCTGCGCCCCCTCACTCTCTCCCCCCTTCCTTGCCTGTTCTCTCACATCCCCCATGCTCCCCCCCGCGCTCCCCCACTTCCCCCCTCCCCCCACCTCCCCCTCTCTGCCAATCAGCCCAATAAGGCTAGGGGTAGACACTGCTCTGGACCCTAATCCGCCTGCCCCGAGCCCTAACTCCCCCTCTGTCTGTACCCGCTCCATCCCCCCCCCAGCATGCCCTCTCATCCCCCTCCCCTTTCCCTCTCCCCCCCAGCCCTCCCCTGCTGCTCCCCCCAGCCCATGCTGTCCCTGGCTGTGCCCTCCCCCAAATCCACCTACCCCAGATCCTACCTTCCCCAGTCCCCCTTCTCCTCCCCAACCTCCACCTCCTCCTCCTCCTGCTTCTCCTCCCCCTCCTCCTCTCCCCCCTGGACCTCCTGCTGCTGCTGCGGCGGCGGCTTTTCGGGCCGCCCTTTCCGCTGCTGCCACATCAGCGTCCCTCCTCGCCCTCCATGCTGCCAGCTCAGCAAAATCAAATCCCTCGACACCCAGCACGCTGCGCAGCTTGTCTTTTGCGACCACAAGTTGCCAAAGCTCGCCACACGCCCGGCCCCACTCACCAAGATCACACTCCCCCTCCTCCCCTCTTCCCCCACCTCCCTTCACTCCACTACCCTCCTTCCTCTCATCCTGTCTCCCCCCTCCTGCCCTCGCCCCCCCCACCCCCGTGGATCCTGGTGCATGTTTTCCCAAAATCGAAGGTCCCCTACCAGTAGCACCTACCCCAGGCCTGCCTCCCTCCAGCCTCTTCCCAGCGCCACCAGCAGCACCAGCACCAGCTAAACCAGGCCCTTCTGCCCCTTTATTAGCAGCTTCGATATGAGCCACATCTGCTGCAGCAGCGAGGACCAGAACAGGGCCGGATTCAGGAGACTCGAGCACTGTATGCTGTATCCCAGGGAGCAAAGGGCATGTGTCAGATCTCGTTGTAAGGGCCACACTGCTGCCTGCCATTCCTGCTGCTATTGCTGCTGTTGCTGCTGCTGCCCCTGAAGGCCCTCCTGCCGTGGTGGTGCCTGACGTGGTTCCTGCTGTTGCTGCACTGCTGGCAGTGGTGGTGAGGTGTGCTGATGGGGGGAGGGCTGTGTGCGGGTGTGCCGTGACGGCGTGAGTGCTATGCCCTGGTGCGGCATGAGCATCTGGGTGTGTGGGGATGTTGCCATGGTGCCGTGATACATGCCCCGGGCCAATACTGCTGTGCATCTGCTGCTGACTGTGCTGCTGACTCTGCTGCTGACTGTGCTGCTGACTGTGCTGCTGACTGTGCAGCACTGAGTTTTCATCTGCCAGCCACTGTAGCAGCCCATCTGTGGCTGCTAGTGACACCAAGCGACCATAAACCGAAGCCGCCATATCCTTTATATCACCACCACCAGCACCACCCCCACCACCACCAGCACTACCTCCACCACCACCACCAGCACCACCAGCACCACCAGCACCACCAGCACCACCAGCACCAGCAGCACCAGCAGCACCAGCAGCACCAGCAGCACCAGCACCACCAACACCAGCAGCACCAGCAGCACCAGCAGCACCAGCAGCAGCACATGTACCCCTGAATCCTGAGCCCCACGCTCCTGCTCCCACCTGCATGCGAGTGGTCACATGTGCGGCCAGCTGTCGTCTCAGTGCCGAAGCTACGCGTGCAGATGCGAGCACAAGAGCATCGGAGGCTGCTGCAGCAGCTGAGGCGTCTGGCAGGAGATTATGGAAAACAGAAAACCCTGCTGCTGCTCCTGTGCCTCCTGCTGCTCCTGTGCCTGCAGCTGCTCCTTTTGCTCCCCCTGCCCCGACCCTTCCTTCTCCGCCTGCCCAATCTGCTACTCTGGCTGTTCCTCTGCCTGCTGCTGCTTCTGCTGCTGCCACTGCCGCGGCAGCTGCTGCCGCCACCCCCCCTGCTGCTGCTCCTGGTGGTTTCAGGTGAGAGGGAGCAGGCGAGGGAGCAGGCGAGGGAGTAGGCGAGGGGAGGGTGGAGGAGGAAGAGGTGGCAGGGGAAGCAGGGGAGCTCCATGGACGGGCGAAAGCGGAGAAGAACGAGGAGGCAGCAGCAGGAGGGAGCGGCTGTAGCTGTGGATGGTGCTGCTGGTATTGCACCTGGTGCTGGTGCTGGTGCTGCTGGTGTTGGTGTTGGTTGGGTGAAACAAGTGCGTGTGGGTGGTGGTGGGGGGAGAGGGGAGGCGTTGTGAAGGTGGGGGTGGTGGTGCCGCTGGGAGGGCTGTAGGGAACAAAGTGGTGCGGCGGCTGCCAGTGCTGCTGCTGCTGCTGTTGCTGCTGTGGCGGCAGGAGGTGGGAGAGATGGTGCGGGTGAGCAGGAGGAGCCTGCATAGGACTGTGCCCTCCCTGACCCTGTTGCACCCCATGCTGCTGCTGCTGAGAATGGCTGGCTTGGTTGAAAAGTCGACCCTGCTGCTGTGGTGGCTGCTGCTGGTGCTGCAGGTACGACTGGACAGGTGACATCCACCCAAACGACCTGAACGCTCGGCTGATAAGAGACGGCGGCACGGCATGCTTCCGCACATACCGCTCCACTAGCGACCACATTGAAGCCCCCACAACGCGCCACATGTCATCCTCCGATAGGACGATTACCCTCCCCTCAACAACCACCTGACCAGGCCCCACTAACGCCCCCTCCTCACTCCCCCCCACTTCCTTCCCCCCCTGCCCCACATCTGTCTCCTTATTTCCCCTTGCGCCTCCAACCTCCCCCCTATGCCCCACGCGCCCTCCCATTCCCCCCTCTGCTCCCCCCCCTGTCCCCCCTATCTCAAGGCCCAGGAACCACTCTAAGCAGTCCTCCCCCTCACGAGGCAGCACGGGGGCAAAACACCCACCAGCGTCCCCCACCCTCCCCCCTACGGTGAGCCCCACTCTCTCTCCCAGCCCCCCTTCCCCCAACCCTCTCTCCCCCGCCCCCCTCTCCCACATGCCTCTCTCCCCCATCCCCTTCTCCCTCACAACTGGGTGCAGCAGGTGAGCAAGGGTGCGGGGCCTGTGGGCGATCCAGGCTGCGGATAAGAGGCAGGTGAAGGCTAGAGCCTCCACTGCTCGCCCCTCGGCCTCTATCCCCTGCTCTAGCGCGTCCTCGGATTCTTCGAGGGCCATTTGGGGCGGGATGGAGGATGTGGGGGATTGGGGAGAAGTGACTGACGGGCCTGATGGGGGATGTCTTGCTGTGGCAGCAGCAGCAGCAGCAGAGGCAGCAGCAGCAGCAGAGGCACAGGATGATCGCATTGCCGCTGCGCCTTCCCGCCACAGCTGGAGGATCTCCCCTGCCACATGGACCAATCGCAGTGCATCCACGCCCAGACGCTTGTCCTGGTAATGATTCAGCAATTGCTCCGTTGCCTGCTGCTGCTGCCTCCCCTGCTGCTGCTGCCGCTGCCTCCCCTGCTGCTGCTGCTGCTGCTGGTGCTGGAACTGCTGGTGCTGTGGCTGGCAGCTCGATCCACCTGACCCCAAACCCACTCGCTTCACTCGCCTCCTCCCACCGCCCACCACCCCTCGCCCCATGACAAGCCGTGACAGGGCGGGGGACAAGCACACAGCCACTCTCCGAAGAACGGTCAAGCAGAGGTGTGCTTGCAGGTGATCAAAGGAGTGTGGTGGATGGACGGTGGAGATCGCATCTGGAGGTGGGAGGGGCCTGGGGATGGCCCACTGTGCCACATGGGCGGTGACGTGGCACAAGAGGAATGGCTGAGAGGTGGTGATTGCTTGGGCGGAGATCTGGAGAGGGGTGTGAGAAGGGGAGGGGATGTTTGGGGGCGGGGGGTGGGAAGCGGGGGGAGAGGAGGGGTGAGCGGCAGGAGAGGAGGAGGGGGGGGGAGGGGGGGATAGAAGGGAGAGGGGGAAGGGGAGGGGGGAGAGGGGGTCATGAGGGAGGCATAGCGATGGCAGACAGGGGGACAGACAAGGAGCGCAGTAATGGAGGTGGATGGCGGAAGGGGAGTGCACGAGGTGAAGGAAGAGCTGAGAGGCGGATAGAAGAGACGCACCGCAGGGTACAGCACGCACACACACACACCCGCACACACACCCACAAACACACCCACACACAGACACAACCACACACACACCCACCCACACACACACATGCACACACACACATACACACACCCACACACACACACACGCACGCACGCACACAGACACGCACGCACACACACACATTGTACAGTATTTTTGAGAATTCTCAAAAATACCCTGCAAATTTTTTGAGAATTCTCAAAAATACCCGGCCTTTTTTTTGAGAATTCTAAAAACACCTCGCAGTTTTTTTTAGAATTCTCAAAAATACCCTGCAATTTTTTTGAGAATTCTCAAAAATACCCTGCATTTTTTTTAGAATTCTAAAAAATAGCCTGCATTTTTTTTTTAGAATTCTCAAAAATACCCTGCAATTTGTTTGAGAATTCTCAAAATACCCTACATTGTACAGAGAAGAAGCCATGAAGCAACGTGGCAAAGAAGACGAAAACAGAGCAGCACGGGAGGCAGCGACTCGACTCACAGCAGCAAGGGATGCAGTGGCATCAACTTTACAGTGCTTGGACCATGCTTCCACCTCCTCCACCAACTCCTCCACACCACTGTCCCCTCCTCCTGCTCCTCCTCCGACTCTGCCTCTTCCTTCTCCCCCTCCCCTACCTCCTCTCCCTCCTCTGCCCTCTGCTCTTCCCCCATCATTGGTTGTTGCTGTACCTTTCACCTCACCAGCCGCAGCAAGGCCGGCAGCGGCTCTCTGCCTGAGCAGCTGCCGCAGCTTGGCTGCTTGCACTGCTGCCACCACTGCTGGGTGCACCCATCCCTCCCCCACCAATGCTGGCACAGACACTGCAGCCTTAGGCACTGATGGCATGGACGCTGATGGCATCGACACAGTAGAAGAGCTTGCTTCACCTGCGCCTCTTGAGCTGCCGCTGTCTTGGAAATCCCATGCTCCACCACTGAACCCGCCCGCACCGCTCTGCACCTGATTAGCACCGCTCTGAACCAGACCAGAACCCCTCTGCTTGGTGATTTCCAGTACAGCCTGCAGCACGAGTCCCATGTGGTCACTCCCGCTCACAGCCTCAACTGCTGCCACTGCTGCTAGTCTCTGCACTGCCTCTGTATCCTCCCCTAACCCCGGCTTCTTTGCCACCGTGGTGCAAAACGCCGCCACCTCAGCGCCAGCAGGCTCGGCTGCTGACGTGGCAGCTGCTTGTGATGGTGATGATGTGGCGGGTTGTGACGGGGTGAGTGCTGAGGTGGCAGTGGAGGAGGAGGAGCGAGTGAGGAAGGGGGTGTGCTGGTGGGAGGATAAAACAAGGTCTTGAAGAGACTCGAGCTTTCTCCCCATAAGCCACTGATAAGGGTAGACAAGGGGTGGAGCAGGATGAGATGGCGGGACGACATGGGGAAAAGCAACGGGTTAGGATGGCATGGGATGGGATGGGATGGGATGGGATGGGATGGGATGGGATGGGATGGAGTAGGCATGAGCAAAACCGGGTAATTACCCGACCCGACCCGGTTTTGCCATACCCGACCTCGGGTCGGGTAATTTCGGGTCGGGTCCGGGTCGGGTAATATGCCCAGGACCCTTACCCGGACCCGGTTTTTTTAGGCGGGTATTATAATACCCGCCTGGCGGGTCCGGGTATACCCGACCCGGACCCCCTGAAAAGCGGGTAATTTTACCCGCCACCTACTAGTGGACATCCTAAAGTTGGGCTAGTAGGCTAGGTAGGTAGGGCTCCACTCGTCCCCCCTCACCTCCAAAACGGTTTTGCCGCAAAACCTAAAACACAGCGCGACTTACGCCCATGTCTAGGTGGAATACCCGACCTCGGGTAATTTTTTACCCGACCGGGTCGGGTACCCGTTACCCGACACGTCGGGTAGCATTCCGGGTAGCGGGTATTGATACCCGGCCCGGGTAACCCGGACCCGACCCGGCGGGTAATTATCAGGATTTCCGATACCCGACCCGCCCTAAAAGCGGGTCCGGGTACCGGGTACCCGACCCGGGCGGGTAGTTTGCTCAACCCTAGGATGGAGTGTGGTGTGGACGCAATGACAAGGGAGGTGTAATGAAAGAGAAGCAACACGGTGTAGCAAAGTATGTCGGTTATAGCAATCTCTGGCAGTCACGGCAATTTCTGGAATAAGTTTTTCGGTCCAATAGGTAGCAGCATCGCGAGTACACTACCACCCCTCTGTTCCCTCACCTTGAGCGTGCACACTATCCAAGCGTCCCTCTAGGAGCAGAATCAGGCAGCAGCGGCCACTCGATCACATCCCTCGAGTATGCAGCCGTCCCCCCCTCGTCCTCCCGCAGGCGGCACAGAATGGGTCACAGGTTGCTGGTGCAGACAAACAAGGAATTTACAAACCACCGAGTCTCACCTTGAGTGTGCACACCCCCCAAGAGTCCCCCTTGGCCGCAGCATCCGGCAGCAACAACCTCTCCATCACATCGCTTGAGTAAGCTGCTGCCCCCCCCGTGTCCTCCCACAGGCGGCACAGCACCAGCGCCAGCTGGGGGTCCCCTCAGGTTGGGCTTTGAGGAGCACTCTGGTGTGAATGCTCAACCATCAGAATCCCCCCACACACAGAGGGAGAAACTCACAGACCACAAAGCCCCACCCTCTCACCTTGAGTGTGCACACCATCCAAGAGTCCCCCTTGGCAGCAGCATCCGGCAGCAGCAGCCGCTCAATCACATCCCTGGAGTACGCCACCGCCCCCGCCTTGTCCTCCCGCAGGTGGCACAGCACGAGCGCCAGCTGGGGGTCCCGCAGGTTGCGCGCACACACAGAGGCGGCGGAGGGGATGTCCTCCCCTAGGAGAAAGAAGGTGGCTGCCAATTCGAACCTGTGTTGAGACAGGAGCACATAGGCGTTCTTCAGGGCCGCTGCCCTGTGGCGCTCCTCCTGTTGGGTTGAATAGGGGTTATAGGGGGTGGGGGGGGAAGCTCTTCAGATACCAGGTTGAAGCTCCTCAGGCAGCCCATAGGCGTTCTTCAGGGCCGCTGCCCTGTGGCGCTCCTCCTGTTGGAGTGGGGGGGGGGGGGGGGCAAAGATTGGGTTGCGGAGGAAGTTGAACACTTCGAAGCACACAGAGGCAGCGGAGGGGATGTACTCACCTCAGGGTGCAGGGGGGGATGCATGGGGGGGGATGCATGGGGGGGGATGCATGGGGGGGATGCATATGGGGGATGCATAGGGGGGGATGAATAGGGGGGGATGCATGGGGGGGGATGCATAGGGGGGATGCATAGGGGGGGATGCATACGCAGGTACCAGTCGGGCGCACAGCACACACACAGCTACTACTACCTATGCAGGTACCAGCCAGTGCACATACCGAGAAGTCCCTCCCCAGGAAGTCAACAAGCTTCTTGTCCAGCAGCGCACAGTTGCTACGCATACAGTAACTAGTTAGCCCACGTACCGAGAAGTCCCGCCCCAGGAAGTCAACGAGCTTCTTGTCGCGGTCGTCCCTGCTGAGCTTGAGCAGCCCCTGCAGCACGGTGCGGCGGTCCAGCACCATGTACAGCAGTGCACAGTCCTTGGGGTCCCGCCGCTGCTGGTACTGCGCCCTCGCCACTCGCTCCATCTACAGGGGAGGGGGGGAGAAGGGAAGGGGAGGAATAAGGAATAGATGGAAAAGAATGAGGATTCCACAGCGATGCCTCTGTGGCTATAATATGCAATCCAGCTACTACCACAGAAACACATTCTCCACAGAAACACCCACCAGTTGCCATAGCTGCATGGTGTTGCAGAGCCAGTAGCCCACACCCAGCGCCCTCAGCCCGGCCCAGGAACGATTCTCCACATCCTCCTCCTGGACTCGTTCACCAGATCGGCCACTGCCCCTGTGTGGACCGCCCACACCACCTACCAGTTACCATGGTACCAATTTTTGAGGCGCCTCAAAAACCCTCCACACCATCTACCAATTACCACGGTACCAACTACCGGCAGGAGCGATTTATTAAGAGAGCACCCACCAGTTGCCGTAGCTGCATGGTGTTGCAGAGCCAGTAGCCCACACCCAGCGCCCTCAGCCCGGCCCAGGAACGATTCTCCACATCCTCCTCCTGGACTCGTTCACCAGATCGGCCACTGCCCCTGTGTGGACCGCCCACACCACCTACCAGTTACCATGGTACCAATTTTTGAGGCGCCTCAAAAACCCTCCACACCATCTACCAATTACCACGGTACCAACTACCGGCAGGAGCGATTTATTAAGAGAGCACCCACCAGTTGCCGTAGCTGCATGGTGTTGCAGAGCCAGTAGCCCACACCCAGCGCCCTCAATCCAGCCCAGGTGGGCTTGTCAGCATCCTCCAGACACGCGTTCACCAGATCGCCCACTGATTCTGTGTGCACCGCCCACGCCACTGCTCGAGACTCCACCTCCAACTGCCCCTGCCCCTCCCCCTCTCCCTGCTGCCCCTGCTGCTGCACCTGATTGCCTCCGTCCACTCTCCCACCACCAGATGCGCCTCCCCCGGATAACCCCCCCCCAGGCCTGATGCTGCTGCTGCTGCTGCCTCTACGGTCAGTGGAGGAAGCACCTGCTCCCAGTCTAGTGCTTGCTGCAGTGGACGCCTCTTTCGCTGCTGCAGCAGCGGCAGCGGCGGCGATGGCGGCAGCGCGGCGCTGCTGGTGCTTCCTGGCTGCACGAGAGAGGTGCATCGAAAGCCAGAACCTGTGGGGGGATGGGAAGAGAGGGAGGGAGGGGGGAAGGCAGAGAGAGGGTTTAGTGCTGGGGGACCCTTAAGGTCCCCTGGCCTGGGTTGTTAGGTCTCAACTGTTGTGCGCTGTCCGCTGCCATGCCTGTACCCTACCCTACCTAATACAAAGGACCAATTGAGAGGGTTTAGTGAAAAGGGCACATCTGCTGCTCCCAGGCTGGTGCTTCCTGGCTGCACGAGAGAGATGCATCGAAAGCCAGAACCTGTGGCGGGATGGGAAGAGAGGGAGGGAGAAAGACCACTTGAGAGAGGCGGGTGAGAGAGAAGAGGGGATGGGGGTGGGGAAGGGGTGGAGGGGCGGAGAGGGGGAAGGGGGGGAGAGAGAGAAGAAAGGGAGAAGGTAGAGCAGCAGGCTAAAGAGGGTCTACCTTTTCCCCGGATCATCCAGAGCCATGACTGCACGCGCCACTGAAGATGATGCTGCTGTGCCCGATGCACCAGCACCCGAAGAGATGATGCGGGGGGGGGATAGAAGAAAGGGAGAAGTTAGAGCAGCAGGCCAGAAAGTGTCTACCTTTTCCCCGGTTCATCCAGAGCCATGACCGCACGGGCCAATGAAGATGACGCTGCTGTGCCCGTTCCGCCAGCCTCCTTCCCGATAGAGCCACCACCTACATCGCTACCATCCCCCTCTCGCTCCTCTCTGATGCTCACCCCATCCATCGCAGCCACCACATCCAACAACACTACCACCATGTCCGCTTCACCAGCAGTCAAGCCAGGCACCCCCGCCCCTGCTCCACCAGCGCTGCTGCTGATGCTGCTGCTGCTGCTGCTGTTGCCACTGCGAATAGTGCTGCCTGCATCAGATAGCACCTGGAATATGGCCGTGGCTTCGTCCTGTGTGAAGGGGGCGTGCCCCCCCACCAGCACCCTCTGCTGCAGCTGCTGCCACCGCAACACTGCAGGAGACACAACGGCACCACCACCCTTCACACCTCCCTCTCCTCCAAGACTCATTTCACCAGCAACGCCGCCAGCCCAGCTCTGGCTGCTCTCTCCTGATGCCTCCCTCGTCCCCCTCGACCCCTCGTCATCCTCATCGTCACTATCATCCAAAGCACTCCTCACGTTCACAAGGCTGAAAGGGTTATACGCCCCCTTGGACCCCCCACCACCACCACCAGCACTACTCCCTCCACCAACACCCCCAGCAACACCACCGCTGCTACCCGCACCAAACCCAGAACCTGCAACTCCCAGCCTGCTACCCATACTGCTCCCTAATGTGCTGCTGTACCCAGTGGAATCCCCCCCAAACCCTCCAAACCCCCCTGACAAACGGCCACTGGAAGCAGCAGAAGCACCAGCCACACCAGCAGTCGAGGCAGGTGCAAGCGAGGAGGAGGGAGCAGGCAGGCACAGCTGAGAGTAGGGGACACAGGGAGAGACGCGGGAACGAGCGGAAGAGGAGGAGAGAGTATTCACATGGGCCGTGGCAAGCGAACGGGCAAGAGAATGGGCAAGTGAACAGGCAAGAGAGTGAGCGAGATGGCGGATGCAGGCCCGGGCGGATTGAACAAGGCCCTGATTGAGCAAAGTCCAGATGGCAGTGGGGTGGTAATCAGGGACCACTGACGCCACTGCCGCCACTGCATCTGATAATAGCAGCCGCCCACTGCCATCCAGGGCTTTGACCAACGCTGACACTTTCACGTCCTCGCCCTCTGACCCCCCCTCCGGGACCATCCCCCCTCCTCCTACGCCTCCTGCTCCACTGGTAAGCCGTCCCCGTACCCCACTGCTGCCAGTATCACTTCTTGCAGAACCCGCCAGAAGGCCAAAGTTGGGAGCAGAAGGAGTGTATGGCATCAGCCGACCCCCTCCTGTGCCGCCTACCCCTCCTCCCACCCCTCCCCGTCCTGCTCCTCCTGCCCCTGCCCCCGCCACACCTGCCCCAACAAGAACACTCTGAGCGGCTGCTAGCGCCGGGTCCGATGCAGAGAGAGGCAGAGACAGCCGGCTCGACACCCGAGGCACGGGCCGAGCCTGCGCGCCAGCCCCGGACCTGCCGCTTCGGGAGGCCACAACTGCCAGGTCTGTGAGGCTGAGGTGCGACATGGAGGTTAGGGAGCTGGCGGGGGAGAGCCAGGGGGAGATGGACAGGTCCGCTGCTGATGGTTCCCGGGAATCAGCAAGCCCAAGCCCGCCCTTGCTTGCTAGACCCCCTGCCCTGTCTCCCCCTGCTGCCACCGCTGCCGCCGCTGCTGCTGCAGTGCCTGTCCCCCCAACCCCTCCTGCCCTGAAGCCTGGTCCGTCTGCTGCTGGGATCGCACCAGCTGCATTAGCCCCTCCTGGACCTAAACCTCCCCCTTCCCCTGCTGCTACCACTGCTCCTGCTGCTGCTGCTCCAGCCTCTGCTTTCATCACTGGGCTGATCACCAGCAGCTGCTGCCCCGTGCCAACCAGCAGCACCCCCTGTGGGGCCCACGTCAGGCACCGCACGGATCCCACCTCCCCCAGCTCCACCCGCCCCACCTCCACCCACCCCGCCCACCCTGGGGCCTTCCACCCGCCCGCCCCTACCACCTCCCCTGGATCACGCCTCCCCGTGGAAGCTTCCTGTATCCTTCCCCCTGACCGATTCCACTCCTGGTATACACTTCCCTTGTCCTGACCAGCAGACCCAAGACCACTACCACCCCCAGCAGCAGCAATGCCACTACCACCCCCTGCACCAGCCACACCATCAGCAGCGGTGGCAGCACCAAGGGAGCCTAGGGGGCCGAGATTGGGGTTAAGGGGGAGAGGAGCAGGCGTGCGTGCGCGTGTGAAGATGCAAACCCTAGAGGCTGCGGCTACTGCAAGGAGTGAATGCCCGTTGCCGGAATCGTGCCAAGCCATGAGCACTGCTTCGCGCCCCAGCCATTCCAGAGCAGCAGGTTCGGCAGAAGCAGCCCCAGCTGCCGAGCCTAGTGGTGTGGTCAGGGAGACTTGGATCTCTCCTTCCAGTCGAAAGGACGACCAGCCGGGAATGGCAGCAGGAAGCATTTCCCACAGAGACACAGTTGATCCCACTGCTGACCCGTTCTCGGTTTCATCTGCTGTTTCATTTGCAGTTTCATTTGCTGTTTCGTCTGCTCCTTCCATAGACAGGCGTCCCATGGGCCTCTCTCGCTGAATGCTCCTTGGTTGACTGTCTTTGTTGCCCTCTACTGCCACTGACGCGAAGAGGGTGCCGCTCGGACATGCGCTAGTGCTTATAACGGGTCCAGAGGAGACTCTAACGCAGCCAACACATTCCCAAGCTCCAGAGCTGACGCTCCCCTCCGCTGCAGCTTCTGCTCCTCCTTCTACTGCCACTGCTGCTGCTGCTGCTGCTGCTGCTGCTGCTGCTGCTGCTGCTAGTGCTGCTGCTGGGGCAGCGTTCGCTTCATCACTTGCCACATCACCCCCCTTCTCCTTCCAGAATCGCATGCATCCATCGCTGCACCCAACAGCAAAGTCGTACGGCAAACCCTCCTCCCTCTCCTCCTTATGCTTCCCCTCGGGCAGCCCAAAACGGGCAGCAAACTGTCCACCAGCAGAAACCCCTCCTGCTTCACCAAGCAAACCAGAAGCCTCTTGCATCCAGCCCCTTCGACTGAGCATCTCCTGCAATGCCTGCAAGTCAGCAGAACCAGACGCACCAGTGCCACCACCACCATCCAAGCTCTTGTCCTTCCCCTTGTCATGTCCTCGTTCCGCTGAGTGCGAAGATGCCCAGAGGGCGTCACTCACAGGTGCGCAGTGCAGGCACGTGACTCGACTGCTGCTTTGGAACCTGAGCACACTCATGCTCGTTACAATCACAGTACATGGCATGTATAGGCGCCCCTGTGCACTTCCATGCCGCTCCTCTTCCTGCACACCCACCAGCCAGCCCACAGCCCGTGCACTCGCATCCCACGTCACTTCTCCCCCTCCTTTTCCCACCTTTGGCCCAGCCACTGTGTCGCTCTCACCAGCTGCCATAGACCCTACCTCCCCACTCGTTGTGCATATCTCCACTGTCCACACGCACACACAGAGCCCTCCCTGCGCCACTCCCAGCACTCGGGTCCTCTCCCTCCCTGCAAAAGCTGAACCGGCTTGCTCTTTGTCTGCATAGGACGACACATGGGCTTCCGAGTGAGGTGAGTGGGGCAGGCAGGCCACACCCAGGAACGGACCGGCTGTAGCTGGGCCAGCTGTAGCAGCAGTTGTAGCCTCAGCTGTGGCCGTTGCTGGCGCTGCAGCATCTTCTGGAAGTGCTTCAGGCGATGCATTCCGGGAAGTAAGAGAGCACAACCACCGGCACTCCGCATGCTCTTCTGCATCACCAGCATAATCCCCATGACCCCCATGACCCCCAAGATCCCCTTGACCATCATGGTCCCCCATTCCCCCTCCATGCTCCCTGTCCTCCCCCTCACGCACGCGTCTCACTAGATACAAATCCACACTCGCCACGCCAGCAACAGCCAGTATGCTTGCGCCACCTGGCAGCAGGACAGGGGCCCACGCCAGCCGTGAGAAACCCTTCACGTAACTACCCCCACTGCCTGCTAACCCTGCTGCTGCTGCTGCTGCTGAATCTGCTGAATCTGCTGCCAGGTCTGCTGCTGCAGACAGAACTTGCTGCTGAGACGCAGCTCCCTCTACAGGCACACTCGATTGAGCCACAGCAGAGGGAAGGTGGGCGAGGCAGGGCAGCGAGCCCAGCAGAACCCACTCATTAGAGCAACCTTCTGGGGCTTCTGTGAGCAGCGACAGCCAGGGAGGGGTGCGTGGGCCCCACAGGAGGGTACTGCCGTGGGCGTCCAGGGTAGCAGCGATGGGGAAGGCTGGCGCAGGGTGAACAGCCATCTCTGATATCGCCCCTCTGTGCCCCGTGAGCTGCAGGTGCTGGCTCACGCACCCCCATGCTGCCTTCCTGCTGCTGCTGCTGATGGTGCTGCTGCTGTTGCTGCCGACGGTGTTGCTGCTGTTGATGTGGCTGTTGTAGCCCACGCCGCTATGGCTTGCCCCTCCGCCTCCCCCTGCTGCTCCATCCGAACTGACCCCAATCCTGCCGCCCGTTTTCCCCCCGGCTCCTATCGCAAGCACAGGCGGCCACAGGCGCGACCAGCGGACAAAGCTCCCGGGCAGCTTCTCTGCGATTTCGACTGCCATGGGAGGGCTGCCGGACTGGCCGGTGACTCTTTGGACGATGGCTGAGATAAGGTGGGTTCTAGGGCAGGAAAGGTGATTGTGAGGGTGGGTGTGATTGTGGGTGCGACTCTCCGTGTGCGTGTGGCCGAGTCCCTTATTCTGCAGAACGCCAGTTGCCTGCTGCCACATCATCAGTCGCGGACAGCGGGGCGGTGACGTGTCATCCAGGCAGAACACGGCCCAGAGAACCACGGTGCCACGTGGGCCCACGCCAACCAGCCACTCACAGGGCGCCACATCACCTCCTTGTATCAACTCCACTCCAAACGACCCCCCTCCTCCTCCTCCTCCTGCTCCCCCTCCTCCCGCACTCACACTCTTACTTCCATCCCCCACCCGAACCTCCTTGGACCACAGCACAGAAATATCCATCCCCAATCTCCCGCCTAGAGACATGTTTGCATCAACAACAGCACACACGAAAAAAGCAGGGGGACTCGCCCATCTACCCTCGTCAGCCACCTGTCTCTCCGCCCCCTTCCCTCGCTTCTGACCGAACCCAGCCTCCAGGTTCGGGTTCTCGTTCTGGTTCCCGTACCTGCTGCTCCCTGGGTGCTTCGGCGAGCTCATCCGGCTCCCAGCCCGACTCCCCGAACCTGCCGCTCCTGCCGAGCCTCCCCCTCTGGTCCGGCCGCTGCCACTGTCAATCTCCATCCATAGCCGCACCGTACCGTCTTCAGCACAGGTCATTAGGATCGGACGGTGGTACGGCACCGAGCCTGATGCAGCTGATCCACCTGCACCAGCGCCAGTTGCACCTACCCCAGAAGAAGACAAAGGCCTGGAGGTCCTATCTTGTGGCCTCCACTGGACGGCCACAACAGGTGCTGGATGCGGCAGATCAACCACGGACACAGCATCATCCTCTGCTTCCTCCTCCCCATCCTCCTCATCCTCCTCATCCTCCTCTCCCTCCGCATCCCCCTCTCTATCCATCACACCCTCCCCAGCTTCCTCTCCTCCCGAAACGCGTGAAACTCCCTCGGACATCCCGTTGACCAATCTGCTCCTGCTTCCAATCTCCCCATCACCGTCAAAAGCGGAACATTGATCTCCCCAGAAGTACCAGACCCTAGCCATGCCCTTCGGCCGTCCCCATGCCGACCCTGCTACACATCCATCCCCTCCTCTTACTGCCACGTCAGCAGTGGCAGCAAATCCGTCTGCGTGCAGTGAGGTCGCGGGCAGTCCCTGTGCGACACGTGCCTGCACCTGCCACAGACACGTCAGCGGCTGCAGCAGGGGCGTCACCTGCTGCTTCCTCTTGGAACGGTGCCACATGGCGACATTTGACTCGCCGCTGATCAGAAGGCCATCTGCTGAGCCCGTCCATGCGAGGGAGATGACCTTGGAAGGAAATTTGATTAGCTGAGCCGGCTGCCATGAGAGAGGGATATCTGCACACACGAAGAGTGAGGCGCAGGGAAAAGGAGGGTCAGACCGTATTGAAGAGATGGCATCAGAAGGGAACCGGATCAACTGACCGGGTCACTATGGGAGAGGGATATCTGTACAGGTAAAGAGTGACGGAATAGGCAACGAAAAGACGTCAGGCGGATTTCCAAAATAAGGGCTCAGATCCTGGGATTCGGAAAGGTTTCAAGGAACCATGAGACAGTCAGGCAGTCTGGAGCATCGACAGTCTGGAGCATCAGTCATTCAGTCAGTTAGGAATATCCGGAATATCCGTTATCGGGACGCCTTATAACGAGACCGTCAGCCTGGGACAGAGCACTGACCTGACCATGCTCCGGGTAGCAAAGCCAGTAGCTGCGAGCCATCTTGACAGCAAGGAGAGAAGAGATACGCGCAGGTTCCCTTAGCTGCTGCCAAAACTCCCGCCAATCTGCTCTCGGATGCTGCCCAGGTCACAACGGTTACCTGCTCCCCATCCTCCGAAGTCGGCGATTTCCCTGCAGCGCTACCTTCCTGCCTCCTCTGATCAGGCAAGATTGTCGTCGGTAAGATTGGATATGAGTGTGATGCGAGATCCACGTCAGCAGATTCTGGATTGAGTGACGGCGGGAGTTCCAGGACCTGGTGGTAGAAACGAGCGCCACGTGGCAGGCTGTCCTCTCGCGCGCCGCTGCCGTGCACGAGCCAGGGAGCGGTTGTGATTACAACGCAGCCACCGGCGCCGTAAGCCAGCCAGCTGTGCCCGGCGAAGCTCCGCAGCCAACCAGCGGCTGCGGGGATGTCATTCAAACGAGGCGGGAGAGATTGCTGCGGAGTCAGCTGGAAGAAGAGCGACGCCGTGTCATCCATGGCTGAGAATCGCTACGAAGCTCAAGATTGTTGATCCGTCTTGCCAAAGAAACTGCTAAATCTACAAGACATTCCCTAGAGGTTGGACACTGGGGGGAGAGCACAAGGTCTGGTAATGGTTCATTGTGGAAAAGCTAGGAAGCAGGAGTTCAGGCAGCCATCGAAATTGTCATGGGAAATGCTCGGTTCTACTTGCAAGGTGGCCTGGAAATTGGCCCGTTTCAGTGGGATTTGTTTCACATGGATACAGTAACCCATCACAGCACTGTACCTTTCATTGAACGCTGTAACACTTGGAGTGGAATGTTAGAGTCTCCAGGTGTAGTAGCAGATTTTTTAATGACCAATTCTGTACACATGTTGCATATGTATGCAAACCGCATTGTTGATGCGGCCCATTCTGAGGGTATGCAAGCTAATACAAAGCCTAATAAGCTCAACCCCAAATAAATCACCTTCTAAGACGGCAGGTCTTCTGCTGCTACCAAGTAATTTCTCTCCAGTCCAGGGTCCTTAACACTATAAGTGCATCTGCCAAGTATGGCACACACATGTTTTAATTTAAAATAACCATACGCCATCTGCTGCAACTTTTACGATGCATCATGCTCCTCATACCTCCTGATTCCCCCTCCCCGCCCCCCCCTCCCCCCACCATATCTCCTACCTAATTCCCCCTCCCCGCACCCCCCCCTCACCCCACATATCTCCTTATTCCCCTCCCCGTCCCCCCACTCCATCCCAAAAATTAGGGTGGCAAAATGTTACCCCCAAGACTACCACAAATGACCTTTGAGTTTCGCGCCTGGGGTAACCCTGGGGCTTCCGACTGGGTCACATCGGGAAAACCAGCGACCAAAATGCATTTTGAGGTAACCCTCAGGATTCCCTCGTGATGTCACCCTCGCGACACCAACTTGTCACCTTCGGGTGTGTCGGGGTGAACGTGACGTGAACCTTTTGAGGGGTTCTTATCCCCGTCAAACTATGAAATCGTTTGTGGTTAAGGAGTACACTTGCGCGATAACATGATGGCCCTTATGCGCAAAACAATAGCACACTCAATCCTCATCACTGGCGCCCCGATACGAAATATCACTACACTCAACATATCAACTGTTTAACTACTTACTTCGATATTAGCACAACCAATACATTAGCGGGCCTGCCTGTATTTATGACTTTACTGTAGCACTGAGGGCAAATTCATTTCGAGGCATTGTAAAACTCGTTATTACGCACATATAATTGTTACAAAAAGCTTAGCTTATCGCCATTACAATCAGTTTTATCACAACACAAAGCATGCAAAACAAGGTGGTTAATTTAGCTGCAATTACCTAGAGTTTTGTGCAGATTCCCTCTCCTCCTAATGCCAACTTGGCGTATTAGCTAAGCTTGCCTACGCATACCACCAGCACCTCTTTTCCAACCTACACAAGCACCGCTGCTGCATGGCCATCTGGCTGGTAGCCGTTCGCTGCACACACGAACATTGTCAAGCACAATATCAGGTGTGAAAGAGCGGCCTGCATCCACCCTTGCACAAGCCCGCGTAAGTCTGGGTATAAAGCAATTCCACACAGATGTCCACTTACCCCATGGCAGTTGCACAAAATTACCAACGAATGAAGACCAGCTATATAGTGAGGGGAGGGGAGGGGGGGATGGGAGGGGGGGAAGGGAGGGGGGACAATGAGGATGGCGAGGAAAGGAGGGGATACAAAGTTTGTAAGGTAAAGAGCATGGAACAAGGTGCCAGTCAAAGCTGGGGGGAAATAGAGTGCGGCAAGAAGGACGCAAGGAGGGCGGGCGAGGGGGGAATGACGAGTAGGATCCGGACACAAGGGGGGCAATGAGAAAGTGCTACAACCATACCTGAGTATGGAGAGGAGCCACTTGAGTTTGATAGGGATGCGCGGCGAGCACCGCGAGAAGCTCAGACATCCCGCTTGCCGTGCACCGCGAGTAGCTCGTGCGTCCCGCCCAACGTGCAGAGAAGCTCACGCGCCCGACGTGCACCGCGAGAAGATGCGCAAAAGGCCTAGGGAATGGTAAGGAGGGAAAGTGCGGGAGGAAGATGTAAAAGGATTATGCTCATAGGAATAGAAAACCCGAACAGAAACAACAGGCTGGCTCGGGACGACATCGCCACAAAACGTGTCTGACATACCCGTCTGGAAGACGTGTTCTGCTTGCCTCGACTACGGCCACTGCTCATTGCCCGCACCCTTCAGCCCGAATGCGCGTCCGGAAGCTTTAAGCAGAACAAGCACACACAAGGAAGAGAATGGGGGAAAATACATGGCGATACCGAGGACTAGACAGTTGCAATAGTTTAGATAGCTGAGAAAAACATACTACGCAGTTAGGACTGGGATTCGTTGTCACAGTTAGGTGTTGCTATATGGGTCGTATCCAGTGAGCCGAATGGAGGCAAAACTTCATACCAATAGAGACACTAAATGAAGCTGTTTCACATCATATGTGTCAAGAGCTGATGGCACCGAGTCTTCTGTACTTGAATCCCAAGACGCCGAGAACGCCCTACAAATTTTTGGGAATACACAAGAAGCCAGGAGGTTCGCTGGAACTTGGATAAGTCGAGAAATCGACCAATGGGTATAAACCCAACGATGCATTCATTGGTCAGCCAGTCAAGGCTCACCCATCACTTTCAAACCCCATTATACACGTTTCGTCAAAAAGCAAACGCCATTTTCTTGTTCTGTCCATCATATGACACGCTTCTACACGAAATTCTCTTCTCGGATCAAGTCTAGTCTGAGGGCTTGTTCCGGGCCCAACCTGTGAGTTACCTGCAAGTCACCTCCAACCAAGCTTGCGCCCTATTGGCTGGTCGGACCCCATGCGACAATTGACAAACATTTTGCGAGTGTCGTGTGCGTCGCCACTACCCACGAGGGGTCTTGAGGTAGTCTGGGGTGAGGTTACCCACGGGTGTCCCACACTCCAAATGGCAGAATGGGTTTCACAAATTTTGGGATGTCCCCCCATATATTTCCTAATTTCCCCTCCCTGTTCCTCCCCCCACTCTCTCCCCCCTCCCCACCTCCTCCTCCGCCCATGGCACGGGGCGCTTGAGCTGCAAACATAGCGTCATATTGCAAGTCGCTAATGGGTTAGGCCAATTTAGTCTTAGCGTCCTAGCTGCACGCATGCATGCATCTTGTTGCTGTCCCCCCCCCCCTCCCCTCCCGTCCCCCTCGCTTGCTCGAGCCTCTGTGCCTTGGGCGTCCCCCCCCCCCCTCCCCCCCCCCTTCCCCCCTCCTCCCTACAGGCGCGTTTCTTCGTGCTCCTTGGCACGCCCAGCTATGCCTTCCTTGCTTCATCAGCGGTCTATGCTCCCCTCTCCGCCTCCATCCCCTCCCCTCCCTCCAGGGCAGCAAGTGGAAACTGAGGGCGGCCGCTTCCGTCTTCCCTGCTTGTTCCGTTAAGGGCTGTTCTCGCCCAGTCCACTCCTCTCTCTCTCTCTCTCTCTCTCTCTCTCTCTCTCTCTCTCTCTCTCTCTCTCTCTCTCTCTCTCTCTCTCTCTCGCTCTCTCTCTCTCTCTCACTCGCTCTCCTCTCGCCCGCTCTCTCACACCCCCCCCCCCCCCCCCCCCCCCCCACAGGCTGCTGGGAAGCATGGAGCGCAAGGGGAGCGACGCCCCTGCTGGTGACGCTCCGTGCTGGCGACACTCCCTGCAGGCGATGCTGTCTTCATCTCCCAACTGAAGCTAAGTTCATGACCCCACATCACGCACCCCTTGCTGCTTGCCCGTATCTTCCCCATGCACCATCCGCTGCAACTTGTTCCGTGCATCCTACCCCTCATATCTCTTAATCCCCCCCTCCCCCGTCCCCCCCCTCCCCCTCCCCCTCCCCGCCTCCTCCTCCGCCCATGGCACGGGCGCTTTAGCCGCTTGCATAGCGTCATAGCGCCAGTCGCTAGTGGGTTAGACCAGTCTAGTCTTAGCGTCCTAGCTGCGCACTGCATGCGTCTTGTTGCTGTCCCCCCCCTCTCCCCCCCCCGTCCCCCCCACGTCCCCCCCGCTTGCTCGAGCCTCTATTCCTTGGGTGCCTCCCTCCCTCTGTTGTGTGATGTCATCATATGCTATCACATTCTGTCTGCCTCCCATCCCATGTTTTCAACTTGCATGTGTGGTTTGAATGTGAAAGAATTTGTGTGTGGTGTGTTCTGGAGTTTGGGAATGTGTTCTGTGTTATTTTTGTTTGAGCAGGTATTTTGATGATAGATCTTGAGAAGATCTTTCCGACGCAACAAGAATCGCTTCAATCGGAGCAAGAACGCGAAAGCTATGAAGATTCAAAGTTCATGAGCTTGCGTTACAATTGCGGCGGTTACAAAGTGAAGTTGTGGGGTGACTCTATATGGAGTTGGGACCTTTGGGGTTGGGGAAATTTGTCACTCTACTGTAACAGCTGCAAATTGGTTGGGAACAACCAAGCTAGGTTGGCAAGGGTGGCCAACTTGGATGGATTGGTTGGGAAGGGACAAAGGTCAAAGTTGAGGTTCCTATAGGGAGGGAATCTTTGTGCTTATGGGGTTTCCTTGGTTGGGGACTCTCTTGGGACCTTCCCTCTCGTCCCTCTCTTTCTATCCCAACCTTTCTCTTGCTCCTCAAATTCCTTGTGAGATTCTTGAACTTTCATTGAACTCTTGAGATTGAGTTAAGTTCTCCTCCTACAGCTTACCCCCTAGTGCGTCGAAAGCCATAGCGTCGCGAATACTTCATCAATCAACGTGATTCAAATTGGGAACGGTAGCTGAGATTAAGAGCTACAACATATCCAAGTTTCGCGACATTCCAACGGCTAGGTTTTTGTCGACGTCGTTTCTTGTGAAGACGACTTTTCTGTCCAGAATTTCGGATATATATTTTGAGTAATTCTAGCTCCTAAGTTCACCTAGACTCCGTCCTTAATTCTAACAAGTGGTATCAGAGCTGTATTAAGGACGTTGAGAGGAGTCTACAGAAGTGTGAAGACCCTTCTAGACCCACCATGGCCTGTGGGTGTGCCTAAGTGGTGTTCTAAAGGTTGGATGTGTCTTCCGCTAAGGGAAACTCTGCCGAAATTTCGTGGACGCCGACACTTGTGAAAATATCGAGGGAGCTGAGTGTGGACAGCAAAGGGGGCTGAAATTCGTCATTTCTCAAGGAGAAGATGAATGAGAGAGGAGGAGATGCTAATGGAAGAGGAGCTGTAGCTGAGAAGACAAGTGAGCCGCCGCCATCAAAAGTTGAAGCTTTGGATGGCTCCAACTATGAGGAATGGAGCGGACGGATGAGAAGTGCCTTCAAACGCTACAAGCTACTGAAGATTGCTGTTGGGGAAGAGAAGATGCCGGAAGAAGGCGAAGCACGTGAACGGTGGATTGAGAAAAGCACGGTGCTTTTCGACCTCATCCTTCAATCGGTCAACAAGGAGATGTTCGAGCACATCAAGGATCTTGTGGAAGCGGATGATTCGGGTCCAAGGGCGTGGAAACTACTACGCGATGTGATTCAGCCCAACACTCTCCTGATGGTGATCGTGCTCGAGAAGGAACTTGCTGCCATCTCCATGCGACCAGGGGACGATGTGAAGCCGGTCCTTGACAAGATCAAGGACACCTATGCAAGGATGGCAGCAGCGGGCAGCAGTGTATCTCAGCTGCAGCAGTGCACCAAGATCATCTCGGTGTTGGACAACTCGTGGGATAACCTCATCCCCACCCTCAACTCTCAGCAAGATCAATGGACACCTGAGTGGCTAAGGCAGCAGATTCTGCAGGAGGACTTCCGCAGACGCCATGTGGGAGGCGGTGCTGCCACTAAGACTGCTGAGGGGTATGGAGCTGCAGGGCGCAGCAGAGGAAGAGGGGGTTGGAAAGGCCGAGGCCGTGGGAGGAGCTTTGGCAGAGGTAGAGGCCGAGGTGACTATAATGAGGGGCATGGGAGCTCTAGTGGCAGGGGGAGTACCAGAATGGAGGGCACGTGCTGGTACTGCAAGAAGGTTGGGCATCCTTGGTTCAAGTGCTTCAGCAGGCTGGAGGGATGGTCACCTCCAGGCATGAAGCCGCCAAGTGGTGAACGCGCACAAGGTGGCGCTGTGCAAGGCTCAGGTGCACAAGGTGAAGGTGCACAAGGTAACGCCTATCCTGGGATGTATCTCATGGTTGAGGATGTGCATGGGCATGAGGGTGATGTGGGATCTGTCGGAAAGGTTGTGATGCACCCTCTCATGCACTGGGTGATTGATTCGGGTTGCACCAGTCACATGACTCCACGGGCAGATTTGCTTGATGAGGTAAAACCCCCTGGGAAGATCAAGTATGTGGCAGCAGCGTCAGGTGCTTTGCTCCCTGTCATTGGTGTTGGGAATGCCAAGGTTAAGGGAGCAAATGGGGAGCTTGTGGGGCTTGGGAATGTTCTGCTGGTTGAAGGCTTGTCTGCTAACCTTCTCTCTGTGCGACGACTGCAGAAGAGCAAGGCCGAAGTGACATTTGGACCAACCAGCTGCCGTGCTAAGCTTGGGAAGAAGGTGCTGTGGAGTTTGGAAGAGGAGACCAGCTGCATCAAGGACCTGTGGCAGCTGCCCATCATCCCATGGAATGGGAAGACTCCAACAGCAGCAACGGCAGCAGCGGCAAAGGCAACAGCAGGAGGAGATGCAACTGCACCAACTGATGGGGTCCTGGAAGCAGTCAAGAAAGTGCAGCAGCAGCAGACACATGGTGAGGTGCTTGCTGGTGTGGATGCAAGTGCGGCATGGGCTAAGGCTTCACCAAGGAGTGGAGAGGCCGATTGGGAGACATGGCATGAGAGGCTGTGTCATGTGAACTTCCCTATGCTGCAGAAGTTGGTGAAGGATGGGAGCCTGAAGGGCTTGGAGGTGAAAGGGGGAGTGAAGGAGATTGGGAGCTGCCCTACATGCTTGGAGACCAAGTTCTCCAAGTTCCCCTTCAACAGCACTACAGGACCAGCCAAGACCCCACTTGCACTTGTGCATATGGATGTGGTGGGGCCCACAAGAGCCCCTTCCCTCTCAGGCAGCCGCTATTTCTTGACAATTGTGGATGACCACACTCGGGCAGTGTGGGTTTACCCTTTGAAGAGCAAGGGGGAGGTGGCAGCGGCTGTCCTTAAGGAGTGGATGCCGAGAGCTCAGAGGGAATGCGGACACAAGGTGAAGGTGATCCGTAGTGACAATGGTGGGGAGTTCATTGGAGCTGATTTTGAGGGGGAGTTGAAGAGGAAGGGGATCCAGCATCAACTGACAGTGCCCTACAACCCGCAGCAGAATGGCGTGGCTGAGAGGTTCAACAGGACCCTGCAGGAGGGGGCACGCACTCTCCTTGGGCGTGCAGGGCTGCCTGATCCATTTTGGGTGTCTGCACTGAGGCAGGTCGCCCTTGTGAAGAACAGGGTGCTGGCTACAGTTGGAGATAAGGAGTGGATCCCATATGTCAAGTGGTATGGGAGTGCTCCAGCTGTGAACATGCTGAGGGCATTTGGGTGCATGGTGGTGTTTCATGTGCCTAAGGAGAAAAGGGGGAAGTTGGAGGCTTCTGGAAGATGGGGTGTGCACTTGGGGATTGCAAAGGATCACAAGGGGTGGCTGCTATGGGACTTGACCACCCAGAAGTTGACAGTGTCAAGGGATGTGAAGTTTCTTGAGTCCCTGTACTACAAGGAATGGAAGCAGCAGCAACAGAAGCTTCCATCTACACCGCTCATTGTGGAGGCAGATGAGGTGCAGCAGCCTTCAAGACAGGTGGAGGTTGCAGTGTCAGAGGAGGAGATGTCTGGGGTGACTGAGGAAGGGGGAGCAGCTGAAGTAGAGCAGCAGCAGCAGCAGCAGCATGAGTCTCCATCTCGAGTTCCACACCCGCCTGAGCGACCTAGGAGGGATGTGCGCCCTCCGGTGAGGCTGACCTATGGGGGAAGAGGCAAGCCAAATGTGGTGCAGGCTGGGAGTGTGGTTGAGCAGATTGAGGAAGATGAGATCGCTCACTGCTACTGGGCACCAATCCCTGAGCCCAAGACTCGAGAGGAGGCCTTGAATGGACCAAATGGGGAGAAGTGGAAGGCGAGTGAGGATGAGGAGTTCGGGTCCCTGATTGAAAACGAGACATGGGACCTGTGTGACTTGCCTCCTGGGAAGAAGGCAATCACTTCCAAGATGATCTACAGGCACAAGTATGGACCTGAAGGGGAGCTGACCCGCTACAAGTCTAGGCTTGTGGCACGGGGGTTTCAGCAGACAAAGGGGAAGGACTATGATGAGGTGTTTGCTCCTGTGGGGAAAGGAACAACATTGAGGGTGCTGTTGGCGATAGCTGCACTCCTGGGATGGAAGATTCGGCAGATGGACATTGTGACTGCCTTTCTGAATGGGATCATTCTGGAGGAGGTGTACATGAAGCAGCCAGAGGGGCTGGATGATGGGAGCGGCAGGGTCTGCAGGCTGAAGAAGGCCATCTATGGCCTTAAGCAGGCGCCTCGTGCATGGTATCACAAGTTGGAGGAGGCGCTGCTGGCTGGGGGTTTCAAGAAGAGTGAGTGTGACCCCAGCCTGTTCCTGCTGCAGGAGAAGGACGAAATCCTCATGCTCTTGGTGTATGTGGATGATATCCTTCTCTTTTCTGCATCAACTGCTTTGCTGGACAGCGCAGAGCAGATGCTGGAGATGCAGTTCAAGTGCTCCAAGATGGGTGAGGCGAAGTACTACTTGGGGATGCATGTGGAGAGAGATGTGGAAAAGGGTGTGCTGAGGTTGCACCAGAGGAAGTACTGTGAGGGGCTGGCTGAGAAGTATGGGCTGCAAGATGGGGGAAAGCCAGCAACACCACTACCTTCAGGGTTTACTGTGGAGCCATGTGCTGATGAGGAGGTAGTGGGTGATAGTGACAGGAAGCTGTTTCATTCGATGGTTGGGTCGCTGAATTATGCTGCAAATCATACACGGCCTGACATTGCATTTGCTACATCACGACTGGCTAGCGTGGTTTCACGTCCTAGTCATGAGCAGCTGGAAGCGGCCAAGAGGTTGGTCCGCTATGTGAGTGCTACGGCATCAGTGGGATTGGAGTACAGTGGAGTGAGGCAGCGGTTGCAGAGAGGTGCTGCAGATGTGAAGAGTGGTGAGATGCTCTTGAGTTGCTATACTGACGCTAGCTTCAACTCAGTGAAAGCGGATGGCACCAGCATTGGGGGTTATGTGTGCTTGCTGGGAGGTGGTGCTGTGAGCTGGCGCAGCAAGAAGCAGAATGAGGTGGGATTGTCTTCATGTGAGACTGAGTACATGGCCTTACACCATGGGGCCAAGGAAGTAGTGTGGCTAAGGCGTTTGTTGGAGGAGTTGGGAGTTGGTCAGGAGAAGCCGACAGTTGTGTTTTGTGACAATGAGTCCGCTGTGAAGCTCGCCAAGAATGCTTGTCTGCATGGGCTGACAAAACACATAAGGCCTAAGTGGCATTGGGTGAGGAGAATCCTTGATAAGGAGGTGCGGCTGGAGATAGTGAAGACCCATCAGCAGGCAGCAGATATTTTCACTAAGCGTCTGGCGGAGGCGGATCATTGGAAGGGCATGAAGCTTGCTGGGATGAGTGTGCATTGAGTATGCATGCTTGAGATGTGGTATGGTCGATGATGGTTGGCAGCCAGAGGGGGAGATTGTTGTGTGATGTCATCATATGCTATCACATTCTGTCTGCCTCCCATCCCATGTTTTCAACTTGCATGTGTGGTTTGAATGTGAAAGAATTTGTGTGTGGTGTGTTCTGGAGTTTGGGAATGTGTTCTGTGTTATTTTTGTTTGAGCAGGTATTTTGATGATAGATCTTGAGAAGATCTTTCCGACGCAACAAGAATCGCTTCAATCGGAGCAAGAACGCGAAAGCTATGAAGATTCAAAGTTCATGAGCTTGCGTTACAATTGCGGCGGTTACAAAGTGAAGTTGTGGGGTGACTCTATATGGAGTTGGGACCTTTGGGGTTGGGGAAATTTGTCACTCTACTGTAACAGCTGCAAATTGGTTGGGAACAACCAAGCTAGGTTGGCAAGGGTGGCCAACTTGGATGGATTGGTTGGGAAGGGACAAAGGTCAAAGTTGAGGTTCCTATAGGGAGGGAATCTTTGTGCTTATGGGGTTTCCTTGGTTGGGGACTCTCTTGGGACCTTCCCTCTCGTCCCTCTCTTTCTATCCCAACCTTTCTCTTGCTCCTCAAATTCCTTGTGAGATTCTTGAACTTTCATTGAACTCCGTCCTTAATTCTAACACCCTCCCCCCCACATCCTCCCAGCAGGCTCGTTTATGAATGCTCTTGGGCATGACCAGCTCTTGCGTTCTCGTGCCTCACAAACGGTCTTACACCCCCCCCCCCCCACCGTGACCACCCTGTATCCTCCTCCCTTCCCTCCAGGGAGGGACAGCAACTGGTAGCCAAGGGAGGGGGGTCAAGGAAGTCTGCTCGCATTCCCTCCTCTTATTCCGTTGATGCTGTTTCTGCCCAACCCACTCGTCTCTCACGCTCCTCTCGCCCAATCCCTTGCTCCCGCTCCCCTCAACCCCCCCGTCCCCCCGCTTGGCAGACTGCTGAGGAGCGAGGGGACTGACGCAAGGGGTCTGACGCGAGGGGGCAATTCAACACTGGATCTTACAAGCTGACTTTTGAAGCTAAGTATTCTCGGCCCACCGCATGCATCCCCATGCTTGATCGTTGCTTCACTCCCAAGCGACACGCACCTTGCATCATTCACTCCATTACTCAATCCCCCCCTTCCCCCCCCCCCCCCCCCGCCACTCCCCTCCCCCCTTCCCCAGCCCATGGAATGGTGCTTGACCTGCTTGCCTAGTGTCCTGTCTAGTGGGTTAGGCCAGTCCAGTCCTGGTGTCCTAGCTGCACGCATGTGTCGCATCACTGCCCCCCTCCCGCCTCCCCCCCCCCTGCTGACGCTTGCTCGCACCTGTGCCATGGGCAAATCCCCCCCCCCCCCCCCCAAAAAAAAACAGGTGATTAAGGCGATCCTCCTCCATGAATGGATGGTGTCTCAACAACTGCTTTCCCTTTCCTCACATGCACGCTTACTGCCTGAATCGCGACCACTAGTCCATCCATCCAACCGCTGAATTTCCTCCTCTCTGTGTCGCCCTCTTCCCTCCCCATCCCTTGATGTGGCGGCTGCACTCACTGCTGCCTTCCCGCCCTGCCCCCACCCCACCCCACCTGAGGAAAGGGAGCCTGCCAGCACCTACTTCACCCCCCCCACCCATCCCACCTGCTGCCTCGGCTGCTGCAAGCACCTGAGGGGAGGCGGCCTGCAAGTAGCTGAGGGGAGGGAGTCTGCAAGCACCTGAGGGGAGGGAGTCTGCAAGCAGCTGCTGCTGCTTTGCCGCCTTCTCCAAGCATCTGATTCCAGCTAAATGCCGTGTCCTCCATGCAGCTTCCCTTGCTTTTTGAGTCGACTAAAAAATCGCCGCCTTCTCCAGGCGTCTGATTCCAGCTAAGTGCCGTGTCCTCTATGCAGCTTCCCTTGCTTTTTGAGTCGACTAAAAAATCGCCGCCTTCTAGAGGCATCTGATTCCAGCTAAGTGACGTGTCCTCTATGCAGTTTCCCTTGCTTTGTTGCTGCCAGTCGTTTTTCCCTTCAAATTGTGCCACTGGTGGCCGCTCCGTTTGCTGGCCGCCGACCCCATCTCTGCACGTTTAATCCCCCAGGTACAGCAGGTACAACAGGTACAGCAGGTACAGCAGGTCCAGCCCTCAGGGTCAGCCACAAGCCCTCATGGTATAGCTCCATTGCGTCTGCACCTCCCCAGGTGCGCCCATGCATTTGCTCCTGGCAGGGGGGTCCCGGCAGGCAAGGGGGAGCGCACAGGCACACGCGCTCCAAGCCCTGCAGCAGCAACCTCGGCACTCCACAGCCTCGCCACTCCACTGCCTCGCCACCCCACAGCCGTGCCACTCCACTGCCTAGCCACCCCACAGCCTGCAAGCCCTGCTGCGGCAGCCGCGCCACTCCGCGGCCTGCAAGCCCTGCTGCGGTAGCCGCGCCACTCCACGGCCTGCAAGCCCTGCTGCGGCAGCCGCGCCACTCCGCGGCCTGCAAGCCCTGCTGCGGCAGCCGCGCCACTCCGCGGCCTGCAAGCCCTGCTGCGGAAGCCGGGCCACTCCGCGGCCTGCAAGCCCTGCTGCGGCAGCCATGCCACTCGACTGCACGGCTCAATCAGCCAAGTGCCCTCGCCCATTCCCCTCGCCACCCTACCCTTCGCCTCCATTCCCCTCGCCGCCTGCCCTTCGCCTCCATTCCCCTTGCCGCCCTGCCCTTCCCTCATCATCGTCCCGCCCACAATTTGCTGCCCATTCTCGCCGTCTCAAAATCGACCACTGGTTGCAGCCCCACTCACAAGCCACAGATGGTAACCCCCACACCCCCCCCCCCCCCCCCCCCCCCGCCGCCAGGTTCCCCCCCTCAAATACCCTTGCAGCCTCCTTAAAACCACTACTACAGAGCCCTACGTCTGTGGCTTGTGAACGGGTTTGCTCCGGTGGTCTTGCTCTCCCCACCATTCTGCACTGCTTGCCCACTTCCATCCTCATGTGCCAACTTCTCTCTTCTCAACCTGACTATCCCCCTCTCCCCCCCCCTCCTCCCCCGCCATCCCTATTCCCCAGCAGGCGCAGTGAGGTCAGAGGGGCGAGCGCCAGCAGCAGTCCAGTCCAGCAGCAGGGAGGGGCGTGACTGGGCGCTACTGTGCACCGCAGGGACAGGTGTGACTGGGCGCTACTGTGCACAGCAGGGACGGGCGTGACTGGGCACTACTGTGCACAGCAGGGACGGGCGTGATTGGGCGCTACTGTGCATCACCTTGCATCACCTTGCATCACCTTGCGTCACCCTGCATCACCCTGCATCACCTTGCATCACATTGTTTCATCCCAAACTCAAGGGAGAGTATTGGGGCTGGGTCGGCTGCTCAGAGGTAAGCACTTCAATCCTTTTTCCGTTCCACACTTGTGTGACATTGTTTCATCCCAAACTCAACCCACTGGTAGCAGCTTGGCCACTTGGTGCAGACCCACCTTTCCAAGTTCAGCCCCCCCCCAGGTTAAGCCTCCTTCCTAGGTTAAACCTTCCCAGGTTACTCCCAGGTTACTACTCCTCCTTGGGTCTGCACGACTTGGCTAGGCCTTAACCAGTGGGTTGCCCGTCGAACGTCGCGTATTTTGGTCTCCTTGCTTGTACACCTTTGCCCCTTCACTGTGCACTGACTCTTGGCGTGTTCCTCCTTGCCCCTTGGGGGAGGGGTGGTGTTGGGGTCAGCACCACCACTCCCCCACACCCCTCCCCTTGTGGCCGTGCAGGTGCTTCTGGTGCGTGAGGAGGGGGGCAGCACTGCACTCGGCTGCAAGGGAGAGTATTGGGGTTGGGTCGGCCAATCAAGGTGAGCACTCAAATAGTTTTTCTGCATTTTTCTAGCGCTGTTTCTTCTGCCCACCGTAACTCACCTCTCCTCCTCCTCTCTGCCTGTGCAGGTGCCTCTGGTGGGTGGGGAGGGAGGGGGGCAGCACTGCACTCGGCTGCAAGGGAGAGTATCGGGGTTGGGTCAGCCACTCAAGGTGAGCAATTCAATCCATTTCCCTTGTCACATTCGCATCACATTGTTTCATCCCAAACTCAACCCACTGGTAGCAGCCTGGCCACTTGAGATGATTTTTGAGGCGCCTCAAAAATCGTCTCAACCCACTGGTAGCAGCCTGGCCACTTGAGACGATTTTTTAGGCGCCTCAAAAATCATCTTAACCCACTGGTAGCAGCCTGGCCACTTGATGGGGACCCACCGTTCCAGGTACAGCCCACACCCCCCCCCCCTTATGTTAAGCCTCCTTCCTAGGATAAGCCTTCCCGGGTTACTCCCAGGTAACTACTCCCCCTTGGGTCTGCACTATGTGGCTACGCTTAAACCAATGGGTTGCCCGCCACACTACCGCTTTTGGTTACCATGCTTCGGCCCCTTCGCTCTTCTTGAGGCGCCTAAAAAATTGCTTCGGCCCCTTATCTCTTCCACTGTTCACTGACTCTTGGCGTGTTTCCCCTTCAGGTTGGAGGGGAGGGGTGGGGTGCGGGGGTCAACACTGGCAATCCCCCGCACCCCTCCCTTCATGGCCGCTCTGGTGGGGAGGGAGGGGGCAGCACTGCACTCGGCTGCAAGGGTGAGTATTGGGGTTGGGTCGGCCACTCAAGGTGAGCAATCCGATCGTTTTCCTGCGATTTCTTTTGCGTTCTCCCAAATGCATGGCCCGTGTATCTTGTTCTCTGTCTGCCACTCCCCTCTGCCCCCTCCAGGTCACTTGCCGCCATTTGGAGACTGCACCAGAGGAAGATGAGCAGCTGAAAGCAGCAGTAGATGCAGCAGCAGCGGCAGCAGCAGACACAGCAGCAGCAGCAGCAGTTGGGGCTGGGTGGTTAGAGGGCAGGCTTGGTCTAGGAGCGAGAGAGGTATGGTAACAGATCAGGTATGGTAGCAGGTCAGGTATGGTTGTCTCATCTCTCTGTTCCCTCCTTCCTTCCTACAGCGTGTGGATCTGGAGCCTTGGAGCAAGGTTATGAGCCTTGGAGCAAGGGCAGGAGAGTGGAGCCCACCCCGTCTCTCACCTCTTCTCTCCCTCTCTCCTTCCCCCAGAAGCATCACGTCTTGAGGAGAGTGCAGTCTCCACCTCACCTCCCCTTCCCCCTCCTTAGAAGGTTGCAGCATCATGGTGCTCCATTTGGCTATGGTAGGAGGAGTTACGGGGAAGGGAGGAGGGGAGGGGGGGGATGGGGTGGCTGGGGAAGCATAGAAGCAAGCATGTAGCTCGCTCCCTTAGGGGCAGCACCCTCTGTGGTTGCTGCCTTGTTGGGCGGGCGTGGTCAGTGCAAAGTGCGTGGCTCGGAAGTTGGTGCTCAAGTAACAACACTGGCGTATCGTATAATGGAACCAGCCAGAGCCGTGCGCGCCGGCTCTGGTTGGGAGTCCCCTCCTACGATGCTGAATGTGGTGGGATTTGAGTCTTGAGCCGCCCATGCATTTTCCACTGCCACCGCTGGCTCTGCAAGGGGTGCTGTTTCCGAAAGGGAGTGGATTGCGTGCTGCTCCTCGTGCTGGGAGGGGGAGGGTGGGGAGGGAAGGTGGGGTTAGGAGGTGATTGGTATGCCGGTAGTGGTGGTGGTGGTGAGATAGAGCGAGAGCAAAGGAGGGGTGCTGCAACAA